CACCTAAAGAATACCAGCTATGAAAGAAACACACAGTTTAATAAAAGATCGAGACAACGAAAAGCCATTCGATTTATGTGGAAATTTTCAAATAATCGTCAAGATTTTTAAATACTATCTTTGTATGGGAATATGCCACAATCGATTGTAGTGACCATCTATTTTCGATTTTCACTCCGAAAATTGTTCTCAAAAAAAAAAAAATTATTTAGTTGAAAACATGTGTATATCCGCCAAGATTGTTAACAAGATTATGTCAACAATCTTGGCGGATCTAATGCAATTAGAGGTTGATTCACTTTTGCCCGCGGTGTTATAGACAACAGTCACATTTAGTTGAAAAGATATGAGGGTGGATGTTTTGCTCCATCAATGAGACAGTAAATACTACCTCCAGCAACTCATTTTCCAATGTCCACAATCCACGCAAGAACCACACCATACCCTAAATTACAGAATCGATTACATCCCCTCAGATATCTGTCAGCAGAGACCCTTCTACCGACTCATCAAAGACCACAACCTCATCCCCCAATTAGACTCAATAAAAGTCTTCCCATCCCAAAAGACAGCTTCCGTGCGAACTACTGCACCCCTAGACCACCACGACCTCACGGCAAAACTCCGAAAAATCACTCGAAATGACACCATCTTATTAAACCCAGAATTCAAATCTTCTTCTTCTTAGAGTGCCGTCTCCCTACGGAGGTTGGCAAATATAATGGCTATTTTTATTTTTGAACTTGATGCTCTAAACAAATCAATCGATCTGTATTGGTACCAATCACGTAGATTCTTTAACCATGAGTTCTGCCTTCAGCCAACAGATCTTCTTCCTTGAATCTTTCCCTTATTATCAGTCTCAAAATTTCATATTTTGGTCCCCTCATCACGTGGCCTAGGTATAACCAGAGTTCGAAGGCCTCGATTCTTTTTAAATTACATTTTTTTAATGTCCAAGTCTCAGCTCCATATAATAATATTAAAAATATATAACAGCGAATGGTACGTAGTCTGATCTCCAAATTTAGATTTTTGCACGTTAGGAGTGGCTTCATTCGTATAAATGCTGATCTGGTAATTTCTATTCGCCTGTTTATTTCTAGAGTATGATCATTGGTTTCATTGATCAAAGTTCCCAAATACTGATATTTTTCTACTTGTTCAATCACGTTACCATTTATTGTCAATAGGTGATGTATATTTTATGGCCTTTTTGTACTCAGCATGTACTTCGTTTTTTTAGCGTTTATAGTAATTCCCATCTCAGCACTATTTATACTCAAGCTTTCGATAAGATGTTGTAGATCCTCTATACTCGCTGCTATGATCACAGTGTCGTCTGCATATCTTAAATTAATATAAGGTTGAATGTTCGAATAAATGAACTTTGATGGTACACAAGGCAAATATCGAACACAGTATTTAATTAAATCTTGCCCAAGTACTTTCGATCACAAGATCATCCTCAGGGGCATTTCGTCAATTGTGGCCTATCCAGCAATAATGGAATGTCATACATGTAAACTGGGACATAACAAATACACTAAAGACAAACAAACACTTTAAAATTTAAATTGGAGAAGCTACATTTTTATATTATAGAAGCCAGAGACAGAATGGCTCCCAGCCTGGCGGAGGCGGAGCCTTTACTTTACTTTATCGAAAGCTTTTTCATAGTCAATGAAGCACAAGTGTAGATCAACATTTACATCCCGACATCGCTGAATCAATATGTTGATGGCAAATGGTCCTTCTCGAGTACCCATTCTATTTCGGAACCCGAACTGCGTCTCGCTAATATCCTCCTCTAGCTTTCGTATATTCTCTTATGTATTATTTTTAGCAGAACTTTTAAAGTATGACTCATGAGGCTCAGTGTTCGATAATCAGAGCACTCTTTTGCTGCTTGTTTTTTAGGGATGGTTATAAATGCTGACTTCAGCCACTCTTGTGGTATTATTCCCGTATCGTACACCGTGTTGAATAAATTTGCCAATACTTCCAAGTTATCCTCTTCCACTAGTTTTAACAGTTCTACTGGTATTTCATCTAATTCAACTGCCTTATTGTCTTTAGAGTTTTTGATAGCATATTTGATTTCATCTACCGTGATCTTCTGTATCTCTAAAGGATTTAATTCTTTTATATTCTGCATTTCACCTCTTTCATCTTGAAAAAGTTCTCTAACGTACTCCTCCCATCGCCTTAACTTCTCTGGTAAATCTACTAGTAGTGCTCCTTTTTTGTCTTTTATGTGTCATTCTCTACTTACTGTCATCACTTCTGTAATTTTTTTGTGCATATTTCTCATATCATATTTTGTTTCTAGTTTTTCTATCTCTTTACATTGCTTCATCAAATAGATTTCCTTAGCTGTTTTAATTTTTTCCTTAATTATTCGTTGTATTTCTTTATACTTCTGTAGATCTTTTCCTTTATATTTCCTTCTTTCTTCCATCAGTAATAGCATTTCTTCTGTCATCCAGTGTTTTTTGGCCTCTGATTTATGTTCTATTAAACTTTCTTGGGCTGGTTTCAGTAATGTGTTTTTTATATTATACCACTTTTTATTTACATCCATAATTTGTTTGTTGTCAATTAGTGTTTTTTGCATATTAACATTCACATTATTTTTTAATTCGTTTTTTTTTTTCTTCGTTTTGTAGCATTCTTACGTTAATTTTTGGTTGTTGTTTTCTGAGTTCAATTCTTTTTAATTTTATTTTCTCGTCAGAAACAAACGGATTGTGGTCTGAGTTAACATCAGCTCCAGGATAAGTTTTAACTGAGGTTATAGAGTTTTTCTATCTGCTATTTACGAGTATAAAGTCTATCTGGTTTCTGACAATGTGGTTTTCTGTATGTGAAGGAGACGTCCATGTATATAGTCTTCTTTTAGGAAGCTGAAACCAAGTATTGGCAATTACCATATTCTTTTCTTGGCAGAATTCTATGAGCCTTTCTCCTCTCTCGTTTCTAGTTCCTAGTCCGAACTGTCCAACTATATTTTCAACTGTACCTACTCCAATTTTTGCATTTAAATCACCTAAAATGTAAGTAATATCTCTAGATTTTGTTAACTTGATTGTATTGTGCAATTCTGAATAAAAGTTTTCGATCTCATCTTCGGTCTTATCAGCAGTGGGAGCGTAGACTTGGATCATATTAATATTACAGTTCCGTGCTGGAATTTTTAGCATTATTATTCTTTCTGAGATTTGAATCACACCTAGCACTGATTTTTTAATAGTGTTGCTTATGTATAATTAAAATCTAGCAAACCTATAATCCGCATCCCGCTCCAAACGATCCACAAATATTTCGCCTAGTCATAGCCGGAGTCGACAAAAACCTTTCATATAAAATCATCGAGGATACCCTATCCGAAAACAGATTTCCATTTACCAAAATAGTTCGCGTAATTGCCCGCTCCACAAACTACCCACCTTATATATTAAGAGTTTTTACGCACTCTGAATCTAAATTCGCCGATGCACTTTCTAACGACGTCAAGATGCGCAGCAACGAATGCCCAGAAAAATCATTTACCTGTTCATACTGTGGACAACAACACAGGTCTACTGCATGCCCCACGATATCTGTTCCAAAATGCCCGAACTGTAATGGACCCCATCCCGGTTTCTCACCAAGATGCCCACACCGCAAAACACAACCCAAAAACTCTAAACAAACCCAACCCGTATACTAATCCATCTAAACAAATTCTACCTTTCCTCTGACATGAAATCCTTAATTCATTTCACTTCCATGGCCCTTTTTAATGTCTTCCCTGAAAAGAGGAGCGACACTATCCGTTATCTCAACCAAATGTCCAGCACACTATATGGATACGCCATAACTACCTCCTGTGAAAATAACCTAATAAACCAAACCTTCACTTAACTCCGCACATAAACATACAACACAACACCCACATGCACACCGATATACACATACTAATCACCCACACACACATCATCCAAATATTTACTTATTCATATACACTTTACCTCCACCGAGCTCACAATCATAAACATATAAACACCCAGAGAAAAAGCCAACAACACAGAACCAATAACTACACTAATATACTACATCCATAAACACCTAATCACAACAACAAACAGTGAGCACCACACACACTCCTTAAGAGTCGGAGTCAAATCACAAGGCAGGGGGAGATTGGTTTTCTGTGGTTTCCCAATCTCAGTGCACAACGATACCTGATCCTAGGAGAGGAATAGCCACAGCTATCCTCCACGCGTTTAACCCAAACAAATAAAATGCCCACAATATGAAAAGGACTGTTTTCCCACGGAACATGTACTACACTAGGCCCCAATAAGGCAGAAATAACTCTTCTGACACACTTGGTTTACAGCGGCCACGTCCTGTCTCGGAGGGCGGCAGCTCGCGACTCACACCAACCTAATAATACCACCCTTGAAGAGGCACAAAGCCTAAACAAGGTAAAAACGCAGTTTCCAACGTCCAAAGTGGATAAGGCACGAGTAGGAGAAAAAGAGATGCATCGAAAAAATAGTTAATGAGTCCCTAGGCAAGAAAAAGAAATAAGGAGCCGGAAACGATTCAGACAATGGAATCAAGAAGTAAAAAATGCATGAATTGAAAGAGAGTTTATTAGTCAAATTGGAACATGGAAGACCAACTTCCACTTATTAAATGATAAAACATGATAGAACATAAAAAGATACCGGAAACGACTTGAAAACGATATAAAAATCTTCTTTGTCTCGGTCTTCTTTTTCTTCTTTGTTGAATTGGTGTTCATTTCTTAACTTTTTTATCACGTTTGAGAAGGGCAATTAGAAGAAAAAATTAATATTTCCGTTGTTAAAATTAAAATAAAGTAAGGTTGTCAAGAAAAAAAGTGTTATATTATTAAAAAAAACTTTGGATTAAATGTAAAAATGAATAATTGAAAAAAAAACAAAAATTTAATGATTTAATTTCAACTATTAATTTTTTTGTTCCAGGTCGAGATCCGGTGGTAATAGAAAGAAGTAATTTAGTAAATATAAGTAAACTAGTTGTGAAAGAGTTGATCGAACAATCTTTGAGATATGGACGAATGTTGGACTCGGATCATATGCCTTTGCAACATTTCTTCATTGTTTTGGAGCACGTCCTAAGGCATGGACTCAGACCTAAGAAGGTATGACTAAAAATATATACAATTGAAGTTAGATATAAGATAAATACTGTGTTAAAACCAACATAACCGTTAAAATTTACTTGAGTTCTACAATAAGTACAAAATATTGTTCGTCATTTGAGTTGACACTGTAGAGCCTTCAGCAAGGTTCATGCTAATTGATTACCAATACTTCAAAACAAGTATACCTAAATTATCACAAGCACAAATTAAATTATTACAAGCACAAAAATATAAGATGAAAATTGTTTAACAATTCGTTAAAAGTTTTGTGCAATATTATTATCAACAATATTCAGAAAAATGTTTTCTATCGTTTGTATTGTATTTAAATAAAACTTAATACTACGTATACTACCAGACACTGCGAACTTAAATGATCTCTTATTTAATGAAATCGTAGGCTTCCAGGGCCAGAGTCAGAATTATAGTTTATTCGTCTTCCGGGTTTGGACCGTGTCATTTGTGAGTGACCCAAAAGTGGGTTCATCTCGACGTTTCGCTACAATTGTATGTAGCTCTTCAGGAGAACAAAGAAAAAGAAAACAAAAGACAGGAATGGTAGTTAGCAACGGTAACTCAGTTACTCAACGCAACCAGAGGCGAATACTAACTACCAAGATGGGCATTTGGTCACAGTAACTCAACTTAGTCACCTCCAAGCCCAATGGCCGATTGGGCCACTCTGTTTATAGAAAAAAGACTCACATGAATCGTTACCTACACGCTTCATCACACCACCATCCTGCCCAAAAGAATTCTGTGATCAACTCTCTCATCCATTTCGATTTCTGAACCCGACAACCTTAGAGAAGAACTTGGCCATCTGCAAAAAACCCTTGTCGCCAACGGTTACTCCAAGTCCACAATTCAAAATATTACACACCGACATCTACATCCCCCTTTACACCCTAGGACGACAAATTCAGAATCTTCGGGTAATACTCCTGTGGCTTTTCTTCCGTATATTCGAAATGTCACTGATAGGATTGGCAAAATTCTTCGCAAAGAAGGTATTAGGACTACTTTTCGACCACCCAAGAAAATCTCACAATATCTACCCTCTCCTAAGGACCCATTACCGCCCCTATCTTCCTGTGGTGTCTATTCTATTCCTTGTTCATGTGGACATGTGTATATTGGCGAAACTGGTCGTTCCGTCAAAACTCGGATTCAAGAGCATCAAAGATGCATTCGATCAGGTCTTTTCTCCCATTCTGCAGTTGCAGAACACTGCCAAGAAACCGGTCATTCCATATTGTTCGAAAAAACCCATATTATTTCTAAGAGCCCCTTCTTTTATTCCAGGAAAATCCGCGAATCTCTAGAGATCCGAAAAAATCCACATAATATCAATCGAGAGGAAGGATACTACTTGTCTCCCATCTGGAATCTCAGTCAAGAGCCGCCGTCCGGTCCCGCTACCACGATGCAGCCACATGATTGGCCAGCGCGCGTTTCTTGACGTTCGCGCCACGGAGTGTGCCGATACGTCCCGACACGACAGGTCACCGCGACTATAAATAGAGCGGTAGCGGAGTAATCGTCGGATTCACTCCCCGTCTCTCGACGCGTTAGTGTTCTGAGCTGATGGACGTGAATCCCTGTCCTGGCATTTGGTTTTCACCTCTGGCTGCGTTGAGTAGTTGAGTTACTGTGACCAAATGCCCATCTTGGTAGTTAGTATTCGCCTCTGGTTGCGTTGAGTAACTGAGTTACCGTTGCTAACTACCCATCTTCCTGTCTTTTGTTTTCTTTTTCTTTGTTCTCCTGAAGAAGCTACATACAATTGTAGCGAAACGTCGAGATGAACCCACTTTTGGGTCACTCACAAATGACACGGTCCAAACCCGGAAGACGAATAAACTATGATCTCTTATTTGAACAAGATATAGACGAACGAAATCTAATTTTAAATCATTAAACAATTTTTTTAATGTTTTTCTGAGACTATTTTCTTGCGGCATGTTTAGACTGATATTTTTAATGGGATCGAATCACAATTGATTATAATGACAAGATTGATGGTTGTTTTAAATGTGGTGATATTATATTTGATTCTTATTCCTTTTGATTTTTCTTATATTCCTTCCTTTTGTTGTTCTGTTCGAATCATGTTTTGTAAGAATTTCATTATCTCTAAGAGTTGTATTGCTAATGTTAAAGGCGTTTTCATTGGACCATAGTATTTTGGGCTCTGTCATAAATATAAAGATTTGATGGTCCCCGTTTTAAGTTTGATGTGATTTAAAACATAATTTAAATATCTGTTGATGTGGTGTGTGTTGGTTTTATGTAGACTTTAGTCTTATATCATATATCGTCCTTTGTAATTAACACGTTTGTTCTTGTCCCTTCCATAGTAAATTTGATCGATTCTTCTTTACAGTTGATATCCATCAAAAAATTGTCTAATGCTTTTGGTTCATGAGGTCATATACAGAACACATGATCTAAATATCTCCACCATACTGTAAGTTTTTATTCCTGTTTGTCATATCTGCTATAACATAATATAATATAAAGGGTTGATCATAAGGAACTGTACATATACTCCTACCTCGTTTGGAGGCCCTTATGGGAAATAACAAAAGAACGTTAAAAGGTATCTGCTCCCTTATTTTTTGACTGAAATGTCTGTCTTTTATAGATTATGAAAAAGCTTTTGATAGCGTAGAACTGTGGGCAATAGAAGAAGCATTGGTCAACAACAGGATCGACTCCAGGTACAGAATATTAATACATAATATTTACAAACAAACTGAAATGATAGTGACGTTGGGTAATGGAATCGAAACAAGACCAGTAAAAGTCAACCGAGGAGTAAGACAAGGAGACACAATATCTCCAAAATTATTTACAGCTGCCCTAGAAGATATCTTTAAGTCAATAGACTGGGAAAATAAGGCAATCCCTATTAACGGAAGATACTTGAACCATCTTAGATAGGCAGATGATGTAGTACTAATAGCTGATACGTGGAATGCACTGAATACGATGATTGATGACACAGAATCCCTAAAAAAGGACTGAAAATGAATTTCAGTAAAACTAAACTAATGTCAAACAAAGATGACAAACCTATGATAAACATCGAAGGGACAGAGATATAACACGTAGATGAATATACTTATCTGGGTCAAAATGTCAAGGTAAGCAAAGAAAATCAGTCTACCGAAATAAGCAGACGTGTAAAAATGGGATGGGCAGAATTCGGAAGACTCTCATACGTACTGAAAAATAAAAATATACCTCAAAGACTGCGAACCAAAGTGTTTAATTCCTGTATCCTGCCTGTACTTTCATATGGAGCTCAAAACTGGACATTCACTAAAATAAACATGGGAAAGAAAAACTGAGAGAGTTATGGAACGACAGATGCTGGGTATCTCACTCAAAGACCATAAAACCAATGAAGACATTCGTAATACAACAAAAGTAAAAGATGCTGTCGAACAAGCAGCTAAACTGAAATGGAAATGGGCTGGACATATCGAACGTCTTAAGGATGGCTGATGGAATAAAGAAATCGGGAATTATCGGCCATATGAAGCCAAAAGACCACGAGGAAGACCGCAAATGCGTTGGAGTGTCGATATTAAAAGAACTGCAGGAAAAATGTGAAAACGTCTTACAAACAACAGAGATGAATAGAGAGAATTATGAGATACCTATATTCGGCAATCCGAATAGAGAAAAGGGCTTAAAAAAATCACTTTAGGATTCTTTTAACAGCTAACTACAATCGTTAATTTTATGTGTAGGAATTTGTAAGAGAAAGCAACAGAAACCGTGAAAGAATAAAAGAGAGAAAGAGAAAGATTATTATAACTTTTATAAAGGAATTTTTTTAAAATCAAAGATACAATTTCTATAACAACTATAACAAAACACTTCTTTCTTTGGCAATGACTAAGAGAATGACTGTTTTGGAACTTGGTGAACAAGTCGTGAATTTAGGCAAGGAGATAGGAAAAAAATTCTCGTTATGTGCTCGACTAGTACTACAAACTCATTGACGTAGACTTCGTTGGTATTTATTTAAAATTCCAACACTTGCATCTTTATATATATTCTTCTATTTTCAATTGCTGCGTCTAAAAATGTATTGTGGTTCTAAAGTGACAGTCCTATTAGACCTTAATGAATATGGGATTGAAGTGTCATTTTTATTAATGCAATATCATTATCATGCAAGTGGTTTACATTCTTCCTTATTTTCTGTCATATTTATTAAATGTTATTAACATAACAAAATAATTTGCTGGACAAACGTCTAGTTAAACGTTAAATGCTTAGTTAATAAAGTATATTCTTCTATTTTTTTTATTTAATTACAGGGTCTGCTGGGACCGAAAAAAGAGCTGTGGGATATCCTACAAATGGTAGAAAAATATACTCCAGAAGCACAAGACATTACCGCTAGTGTTAGGGATTTACCAACAGTAAGGTAAGGATTTAATTATCATTTTATTATCGTTTTCCTGTATTATTACACTATTCGATAAACCTTTTAATAGTGTTACTATTTTTAAACTTTGATGGTACACAAGGCAAATATCGAACACAGTATTTAATTAAATCTTGCCCAAGTACTTTCGATCACAAGATCATCCTCAGGGGCATTTCGTCAATTGTGGCCTATCCAGCAATAATGGAATGTCATACATGTAAACTGGGACATAACAAATACACTAAAGACAAACAAACACTTTAAAATTTAAATTGGACAAGCTACATTTTTATATTATAGAAGCCGGAGACAGAATGGCTCCCAGCCTGGCGGAGGCGGAAATATTGGGGTGACATGTCATGAACATGAACATGACATGTCACCCCAATATTTCCGCCTCCGCCAGGCTGGGAGCCATTCTGTCTCCGGCTTCTATAATATAAAAATGTAGCTTGTCCAATTTAAATTTTAAAGTGTTTGTTTGTCTTTAGTGTATTTGTTATGTCCCAGTTTACATGTATGACATTCCATTATTGCTGGATAGGCCACAATTGACGAAATGCCCCTGAGGATGATCTTGTGATCGAAAGTACTTGGGCAAGATTTAATTAAATACTGTGTTCGATATTTGCCTTGTGTACCATCAAAGTTCATTTATTCGAACATTCAACCTTATATTGATTTATTACTATTTTTACCCAACCTGATGTAATTTCATTATCATTTGAATATTTAAATTACTTTTCGAAACACAGCTTTCATTTTGAATGCTTACGCATGCCATTTTATAATCATCAACATCCTGCGATTTAGTCGACGGCAGGATGTGGACATTTTTCAGATTTGTCTTTCTTCTTATCGTTAGAGCTGCCGATATCCATTTTTTTTAATTTCTCGAGATACCATATATCGTTACTTATGTTCTAAAACATATTAGACATACAATTAAAAACAAATCTCTAAAATGGATTTGTTGTCTTTCAAAAATACCCTCTTTGATATGCGAATTAATCAAGGAAGGAAACAAGAAGGTAATCCGATATTAATTCCGTGCTGAATGTCTGATGACACATTAATCACTTTTTCAAGCTTTTTCAAGACCTGGCAATGCTTTTGCTTAAGATGTTGAGCTTGTTGAATGTTGAAGTTTTTCCAAAGATACACACGGAAATACCGGGTGGTGAATGGCCAAACAGGCCATAGAAAACTCAATGGAAAATTCTAAATTGTTGAATTCCTGCTTCCCTAATTATTTTACATCAAAAGTCATAAGAATCTAGTTGTAGAGGACTGAAGTCTGTATTAAAAACAAATGTTGAAATAGTTCTACGAATTAAGCGTAGTCCAAAATTTTGCAAAAATATAATACATTTTTCAGGCCACCCCTAAAAGTCAGGCCTAAAATTATTATCATATCTCATATATTCAAATATTACGGCTCTCACTATATCTAATGAAAAAAATCACTCATCCTGAATACGTATGTTATCAAAAAGATTGAACTCTTTCCGTTTTATCGAGCCGTACGAGACCAGCACATGCTGGAGTACAAAACATACCAGCAGGTATCGAGTAATATCTCTTTCTGTATGCTGTTTTGTTTGCATTGTATTTGTAAGCTGTTTGGTGTTCTTAGGGAAGCTCTTCCGAATGACACCAGTAGTAAATAAAATAATATGTATCATCCGGGTACCTTCTATTCTCCATTGTCTACTTATTAGTTGCTCAAAATCTCTAGAACTGCCGAATTTTTCATTGTATTTAACACAGACTGTTGTTAGGTATCGTTACAACAATAGACGTTGTTTAAATGCTTTGTTTACTAGAATGACATTCAGCATATTATGTACCACTGTTATTCTGTGCAGTAATTAATAACATTGTTTTAGGACACACATGGGTAGAGCACGTGCTTGGTTACGATTAGCACTAATGCAAAAGAAACTAGCCGACTACTTAAAAGTATTGATAGATCATAAGGACGAAGCCTTAGTAGAGTATTTCGAACCTGACGCTTTGATGTTGAGTGACGAAGCTATAATCATCATTGGTCTTCTAGTTGGTTTGAATGTGATAGATTGTAACCTCTGTGTTAAGGTAAGTTTTAACATAAGTCAAGTATCAGAAGTCAGGCTAAGAAATGATTTAAAGTTTTCTTTAAAAACACTGAACGTGTCTTAATATCACATGGATGAGAACTTATAAGGACGTTATCCAATTTTGGATGGGCCAAGATCAGAATCCGCCATATATATCAAGAATCTCTTAAAGAAGTTTAGAACTAGAGTTATGTACAAGAAATGTGAGGGACTAGAGTTACAGGGTTCATTCTCAAAGCAGTGAAAAAGTATACAGCAAGTCCCTAAGACTCACATAATTTTCTTTAGAAGCGATGGATAAAGCTGTGAGTAATATAAATTCTTTTACAGAAGCGTTTGTCCACTAAGCGGAAAACTAAAACAGTGGTGTGTATCTTTCTAGATATAGAAGGGGCATTTCAATACTTCACATGAAACAGTAATAATACAACTGAATGAAAAAATCGTAAATAGTGGGATGTCCATGTCCAAGTATATGGTACAGGTACTGTGCACACGTGCACGTGTGGTAGAGATGGAAATGTGAAAAACCTGTATGCTCCAACTCAACGTCTAGTATGTGATAAAAAAACTAATCCAAAACATGGCCCGTCTTTTGCTTGCTGTAATGACTGCCAGAGGAGGAATACACGCTATGCTCCGAGTGAATTTATGCTAGACAGTGTATTTCTCAAATTATTGATTAGAAAACAGGATGTCACGTTTTCTTAACGGAACTGCCATTCTTTTTTAGGAAGAAGATTTAGACTGCCCTCAAGGAGTTATCGACTTTTCGTTGTATTTAAGATCTTCAAGCCACGTGTCGACAGATTCCAGTAATGAAGAACAAGGCGACGCTATGATTACAGTTTTAGATCAAAAAAATTATATAGAAGAACTTAACAGGCACCTAAAGTAAGTGTTCTTATGAAGTTTTAGGTTATTGTCGATATTTTTATTGAATAAATTAACGTTAAGGGTAACATGAGAAAATGTATTGGCAACCTGCAATTTCTTACAATTTGTTGGATGGAACTTAAAATAATTATTAATTTACCATTTTTCTACCCTTTGTCTGGTGTTTTTCTTATTTACATGTCTTTATTAATAATTAATATTTTTTTACAACAAACATTCGATTTTTCTATTTTTATTAAAACAAGTTGGCTTTAATCGTAATATTTTAAAGTCTAGAATCTAGTGTTTCTTTTTGTACAATTACTTAAGGACCACACTGTATAGCAGTTATTTATCAATATAAAATTATACTTTCAATGCGCTTGACTTTAAATTGCACTTTAAATCTTTAGTGTGAATCTAATAATTTGATCAGTAACTCTATAATTTTCTTATTTAAAATGTTTTTGTTGTCTTTCAGTGCAACAGTAGCAAACCTCCAAACCAAGGTAGAATCGCTTACCACCACAAACGCACTGATGAAAGAAGATCTAGCTATAGCCAAAAACAATCTCTTAGCTCTTTACGACGAAAATAGACAACTAAGACAAGAATTAGGGAAAGATTCTGATGGATATGCTTTAGGTGTTAGTGGTGTACAAATTACGAAAGTAGAAGAAAAAGAAACAAAAGAAATAAGTAAATTAGTTGGTAGCGAAGTAGAAGAATTGAAACATAGGTTAGAAGAGGAGAGAAAATTGAGGCAAGAAGCTGATAATGAACTTGAAATTCAAGTAAGTTGGAGTAATTTTTCTACTAACGGAAAATCCATTTGTCCTCCCATCATCTTGGCCATATCTCATTAAGTTAACATTAACTGTTACACTATATATGATAAAGTGGATATGCGCAAATATTTCCTGCTTACTCTTCTCCCACAGTAATAATTCCCTAAATATTCGGCGTTTCTTCCTCTGTAAAAGGCAACCGTTAAACCTTCGACAAACCTTTGTAGTTACCGCTGCAACGGTTCTGTTTTGTATAAAGTTGTCAATAGTTCTTTTGTTTGCGAATATAGAAGATAATATCTTAAGAAAAACTTCCGAAAGTATCCCGTTATGGACTATCCTAACAGTCCCGTCTAACTTTGACCACACACAAAGTAACTGTATCCCCTCTTTGAACAATCTGTCCATAAAAAGAAATATTGGTATGACATTTGACTTATTTTATTTGATCACGTTGTCTGATTATGTTATTTGATGATTTTGTGGTATGTATGATACATCTTTTATTTAATGATATTTGCTGTTCTCTTGTTTTGTAAAAAATATTCTGTCTTTTTTTTGGAGTTCAAACATTTGAAAACAGCGGCTCCCTTTTTCTTCTGAAGGACTGTTCTCTTCCCTGTTTCCTTCTTATTGTGTTATATCTATTATTTCTTGTGTTTCTGACCTGAAAGAACGACCCCGCATATAATCTACCAGTATTGAGCAACGGAGCTTTAGAACCTATTGTGTACCGATGTTGTAATATTAATTCTTCATAAACAGGCACCGCTTAAGGGTATATTCCACTAAGGAAAACCAAGAGGGAAGACAACAACTGATACCTAATTGTGTATGTGTATGAAATCACGTTCACAAAGTCTCTTCTTTGGGTGCCGTCTTCAATGAAGGTTGGCGATAACCTCAGCAAAATCATTTCTGTCCCTGGCTTTTCTTATTAAAGATTGAGAATCCAAACCAGTCCACTCACGAATGTTCTTCAACCAGGACGCCTGCCATTTACCAGGACCACGTTTTCCTTCTACCTTCCCCTCTATAAGAAGCTGCAGTAGCTGGTATTTCTCATTTCTGTATATGTGTCCCAAATATGAGGTTTTCCGTGTTTTCATTATTTTTAAGAGTTCTCTGTCGGTACCCATCTTGTGTAGGACCTGCTCGTTGCTCATATGCGCTGTCCAGGGGACTTTCAGCATCCTTCGAAATAACCACATTTCAAAACTTTCCAAACGCCTTAGTGAGTTGATTTTGAAGGTCCAGGCCTCCATTCCATATAGTAAGGTGCTGTAAATGTAACATTTCAGCATTCGGTATCGGATTTTGAGATTGAGTGTTTGGGACGTAAACATTTGTTTCATTTTTAAAAGACATTTCTTGCTTGTTCAATTCGCGATTTGATTTCTATGTCTGGATCTATATCTTTCGTTATCCAGCACCCTAGATATCGAAATTTCTCGACATTTTCGATAATGTTACCATTCAGGTTTAAAGCCATGGGTGGATGGATGGATGTTTTGGAGACAAAACTCACGTATAGTTTGTTTAATACGTTTTTATAAATAACATAAAGTGGACCTTTTTTTTCTCTCTTTGGCTTGGACAATTGTCATTCAGATAGTCTCCATCAACATAAGTTTTGTTAAAGAATTTAAATATGTCAATTAGTGAAACATGATTAATATAATAATAATAACAGCTAAGCTAATGTACATACTATGTTAATAAATACTGTATTGTTACGAATATGCTTTCGGCATGGCCATTTAACCGATGCATCTCGAAGGATCGAGAAATTACCGGTCATATATCAAGCGCTGTCAAATTCCACCCGTCGTCAGATAACGAATTAGAGATGGGACTAATCCTGAATATTCTCGAACATAGTAACTTTGGTATATATAGGTAACGAAATTAGGAGTTAAGTTTAGTTGATAAGATAGTATCGAACTGTAAAGTTATAAATAAATAGATTTATATAAATTCGAACCGCTCGTTTTATTAAAAACCGGTACAGTTGGTGTCACCGTGTGAGGACAATTGATTTATTTAAAAATAAATTTAACAGTGAAACAAAGAGACTTTTGAACTTTTGAAAAGTATTGTTCGTCGGGAACATCCGCGTAGTTCGGTAGTGATCGTTGTACGAAAGAACATTTATAAAAGTACGTGTGTGCCTGTACAAAGATGCTGCTAGTAGAACTTTCAGTGAAACAGTTGCGTGAGCAACTAGAAGAACGCGATGAAGACTGCAGCGGGTCCAAGAAGATACTCCAAGAACGACTGAAGACTGTTCTGAACAAGAATGGAGACGACCCAGAGATATTCCAGTTCCAGTCAGCAGAGGAAGCAGTTTTAACAAAAATAAAAAATGTGTCACAAATGATTGAAGAATCTTCAAAAAAAAATGATGATAAATTCGAGACTGTTTCCAAAAGATTCGATGAAACGTCTCAAATGATTGAAGAATCTTCAAAAAAAAATGATGAAAGATTCAATGAAACGTCTCAAATTATTAAAGAAACAGCTAGACAAAACGACGAGAAATTCGAAAATATGTCTAGAAGATTCGACGAAGTATGCATTCAGAACAGTGAGAAGTTTGAAGAAGTCTCTAAAACATTCGATAAAGTAGAAGAGAAGATCAAACAATTAGAGACCATGATAACTAATACGAAAGTGCTACCACCCGTTAATACGGTAGCCTTAGATCCGGTAGTGAAAGAAGAATCACCGAGAGACGAAACGACACATCATATGAGATTCAAATTGCCACCGTTTGATGGAAAGTCCTCTTGGTCCATATACCTTAGACAATTTGAAGCTATTGCGACAGCCAATCATTGGACAGAACAAGAAAAAGCCGTTTCCTTGACTGCTGCTTTACGAGGTGATGCTGCGGATATCCTAAGATCGATTCCTAAGGGTCAAGAAAAATGTTACCAGACCTTGTTTACTCGACTAGACAAACGTTACGGAGATGCCCATCTACAACAAGTCTACAAGGCGCAACTAAGAAGTAGAGTTCAACGAGCAAGTGAAAATTTGCAAGAGTTTGAAGCAGATATTGCTCGTATAGTGCGGTTGGCTTATCCGGAGGTACCAGACAACATTTTGGATGAAATTGCCGTAGATACCTTCGTCAATGGGTTAAAAGAAAGTGAATTACAGAAAGCTTTACGACTAGCGAGACCGAAAGTTCTAGATGAAGCGCTCGCTATTGCCTTAGAACATGAAACAGCTAGTCAAACTTCACGGAGCCATCGAGTAAGAACTATTGAAGAAGGCGACGAACCAAACGATGAACGTCTAGAAGAAATGGTACGAAAAATAGTTCATAACACGATGCCGAAGAGACGCGAGCCCAGATGTTGGAATTGTGGTGACGTAGGTCACATTCGCCGTAATTGCAAGAAAATGATACAACAGTCGGAAAACTAGAACGGGTCGACACTAAGGGGCAACTGCCGACCTCGAGAAACACAGCCCCCATAGTAACTGTTAACATTACGTCCTCCGGTGGAATTCATAGCTTGTACATCGAAGGTCGTATTAATAATACATGTATATCGTTTTTGGTAGATACAGGTGCAACAAGAACTATAGCACGGCCAGAAGTAGTACGAGACCATCTTAAATTATCGCCTGCAACAGTAAAGCTTAGAACAGCAACTGGTGAGATAATTAATACATATGGCGAGGCTAATATGTCAGTATCCATTGGCCAGACCACAGTGAAACATCGAGTATTAATTGCAGAGATCTCCGACGAGTTCATATTGGGGATGGACTTACTTCGGAAAGTTGGGGCTGTATTGAATGTCAAAGATGGAGTTCTCGAGATCGGTGGTGAAGAGTTGCCGTTTCATGAAGACAAAGAAGATGTTATCAGCTTAATAACTACTTGTGACGTAACAATACCCGGTAATAGTGAGAAAATTTTGATGACCACACCTGATGGTTACTGCCGAGAGGGAAGTTTAAGGATGGTCGAAGATGTGAACAATGCCGAGTTCCTAACGGCAAAAGCTTTGGTGAAAATTCGAGATGTCGTTCCTGTAAGAGTTATGAATTTAAAGGGAGCTGCTATTAAGTTAAGTAAAAGAACTTTGATCGGACAGTGTGTTCCCGTGGCTTCGATTTGTTCCATGAGTACTAATGAGAAACCGTCGAAATCTAAGTATCCAAAGGAACTTGTTGAGACGATGATTAAAACGTGCCAAGATCTTGATGATGAACGAACTAAAAAAGTGAAGTCTATGCTGATAGAATTTCAAGATGTTTTTGCCATTGATAAGAAGGATAATGGCAAAACAAGCATAGTAAAGCATAAAATTAATACCGGAGACGCTCAGCCAATCAGACAACAACCTAGACGGCTTCCATTTGCGAAAAGAGATGAAGCCGAAGACATCATCAAAGATATGAACAAACAAGGGGTAATTGAACCATCAAACAGTCCATGGACATCACCAGTAGTGCTAGTAAAGAAGAAAGATGGTTCAACACGTTTTTGTATTGACTACCGACAGCTCAATGCGGTAACTAAAAAAGATAGTTATCCTTTGCCCAGAATAGACGATACTTTGGATACACTTTCTGGTTCTCGGTGGTTCTCCACACTCGATCTGAAAAGTGGATATTGGCAAGTAGACATGGAGCCAGCTGATCGTGAGAAAACCGCATTCTCGATAGGATCAGGGCTTTGGCAGTTCACAGTTATGCCCTTTGGTTTATGTAATGCCCCGGCCACATTTGAAAGATTAATGGAGGCAGTTTTAAGAGGTCTAACATGGAAAACATGCCTGGTTTATTTGGATGATGTAATTGTAGTAGGAAGATCCTTCGATGAACATGCCAATAATTTGACAGAAGTCTTTCAACGATTGCGGGCAGCAAATTTGAAGTTAAGTCCGAAGAAATGTCACTTGTTTCGACGAGAAGTGAAGTACTTGGGACATATTGTAGCAAGTAATGGTGTAACAGCTGATCCTGAAAAACTTGCAGCAATTAAGGATTGGCCGGTACCAAGAGACAAACACGAAATTAGAAGTTTTCTTGGCCTTTGTACATATTACCGACGTTTTGTCAAAGGATTTGCCAACATCTCCAAGCCATTAACAAAGTTGACAGAAGAAGGCAAAGAATATACATGGAGCGAAGAGTGCCAAAGAGCTTTCGAACACTTACAAATGGCTCTGATCAGCGCACCGATTTTAAGCTACCCTAGACAGGCAGGAAAATTTGTGTTGGACACCGATGCAAGCAACAGTGCAATAGGAGCTGTTCTATCCCAAATCCAAGATGGGCAGGAGAAAGTCATTGCTTACTTTAGCAAAGTCTTGTCGAAACCAGAAAGAAACTATTGCGTTACCAGAAGAGAATTGCTAGGCGTAGTAAAGGCTTGCGAGCATTTTCATAAATACTTGTATGGCAGAAAGTTTCTTCTTCGCACGGATCACGCTGCTCTAAAATGGCTCCTACAATTCCGTAATCCAGAGGGCCAGATGGCAAGATGGTTAGAACGATTACAAGAATATGATTACGAGATCGAACACAGGGCTGGAAGAGTTCATTTAAATGCTGATGCGCTTTCGAGAAGGCCGTGTAGTGAACATTGTAATCACTGTCTTAAATTAGAAGAAAGACTTTGCCCCGTGAGACGAACCACCGTCATTAATGATCAATGGCAGCCTCAACAGCTACAAGACGCTCAAGCAAATGATCCATGTATAAAAAGAGTATTGGATTGGATGCGTCGAAGTGAAAGGCCCTCTTGGCATGACATTAGTGCATGTAGTCCTGAAGTCAAGTGTTACTGGAGCCAATGGAATTGCCTAGTGTTAAAAGATGATCTTCTTTATAGAACCTTCGAGAACGATGATGGTACAGAATCTAAGCTTCAGTTGATTGTACCTAAAAGTAAAGTGTCAGAAGTATTGCGTCAGTTACATGACGGTGCATCAGGTGGACACTTTGGTATTACGAAGACTCTGCAAAAGGTTCGAGAACGGTTCTATTGGGTGAACTGTAAAGATGATGTAAGAAGATGGTGCCGAAAATGTGAACTGTGTGCAACCAGTAATGGTCCAGTTGGTAAAAAGAGGGCACCCATGAAACAGTACAATGTTGGTAGTCCTATGGAACGAGTAGCAATCGATATTGCAGGTCCACTTCCAGAGACAAATGATGGAAATAAATATATCCTGGTAGCCATGGATTATTTTACGAAATGGACTGAGGCCTATGCGCTACCAAATCAAGAAGCTGCTACCGTTGCAGAGGTACTTGTTAAAGAATTCTTTAGCCGATTTGGTGTTCCCTTGGAGATCCACTCCGACCAAGGGCGAAACTTCGAGTCAAACCTTTTCCAAAACGTTTGTAAATTGATTGGTGTCAATAAGACCAGAACGACACCCCTGCATCCTCAATCAGATGGAATGGTCGAGAGGATGAACCGAACGATGGGTAAACACCTGTCCAAAGTTGTATCAAAACATCAAAGAGATTGGGATCAGCACATTCATTTATTCTTAATGGCATACCGCTCGGCCGTGAATGAAACTACAGGCCAGACTCCAACCTGCCTGATGTTAGGTCGTGAAGTTCGTTTGCCCTGCGACCTAGAGTTTGGCTGCAGACCTTCCGAAGAACATGTTGCAAGCGAAGATTATGTCGATCGTCTGAAGTTAAGAATGAACAGCATTCATGAACTTGCCCGACAACACATCCAGTTAGCCAGTGACAGAATGAAAGATCAATACGATTCTCGATGCAAGAATGAAAGCTATGAAGTAGGTGATCTTGTTTGGCTTTATAATCCACAACGTCGTCGTGGCTTGTCTCCTAAACTGCAAAGACAATGGGAGGGTCCGTATGAAATTAAAAAGAGAATAAATGACGTAATATACCGAATTAAGAAGTTGCCGAAAGGCAAACCAAAAGTAGTTCACATAAATCGTCTTGCCCCTTATGCTGGCTCAAATGAAACCGAAGAAGTCCGAACCCTTCAACATGAGATCAAAGATAAACGGCGACCAAGCTTTAAGGAGTTTATGTCAAATTACGCAGAGAGAAAGAATGCTAGATTCGGCGTGACGACAGAAGTTCAGCAGGATCTTTTTAGTGTTCCGCATAACGTCACTCTAGCCCACTGTGTTGCCCAAGATCTTGAGATGACTAAAGGAATCTCATCCGTATTTTATAAGAAGTTTGGTCGTTTGGACGAGTTAAAAAACCAGCAGCCTAAAGTTGGAAGAGTACTGAGATTAGAAGATGGTTCTCGATCTTTGCTGTATATGGTGACCAGGAAGTCGTATACAGACAGGGCAACCTACGAGGATATATGGTGTGCTCTAACTAATTTGAAGAAAATCGTCTGCAATTACGACATTAAGAATTTGGCCTTACCCAAGATAGGCCATGCACTAGATAATCTGGATTGGAAGATTGTCAGAAGCATGCTAGAAGTGATCTTCCGAGAAACCGGTGTAAGAATTACTGTGTGTTGCATTAATCCGAAGAGATCGTGTCCTTCAAAGACAGTAGACTGTTATTTCTTTCTGAGGGGTTCATGCAGAGCTGGAGAGTTCTGTAGATTCCGCCATTCTGGGCCTATATATAGAGTTGCTGATCGGGACGCTCAGATCTAAGAGGGGAGCAGTGTTACGAATATGCTTTCGGCATGGCCATTTAACCGATGCATCTCGAAGGATCGAGAAATTACCGGTCATATATCAAGCGCTGTCAAATTCCACCCGTCGTCAGATAACGAATTAGAGATGGGACTAATCCTGAATATTCTCGAACATAGTAACTTTGGTATATATAGGTAACGAAATTAGGAGTTAAGTTTAGTTGATAAGATAGTATCGAACTGTAAAGTTATAAATAAATAGATTTATATAAATTCGAACCGCTCGTTTTATTTAATCACGTTACAGTATCATACCTTTATTATAATTTAGTTATTGAGAGACGCCATCAGAAATTCATAGTGTATACATCTTACAAATAAAAAAAAAATAAATATAAAGATATCTACCTACTATGTTAATAACTATAACTATGGTAATATATTTTTTTTTTCACAACGTTAGGACATAAACCCGATTCAACATCTCGGAGGTTTAGATCCTCTTAGTGATTGTTTTAGTATATTTTTATCTTTTTTTTCTTATTTTGTTCTTTTTTTTTTAATGTATTTTTATAATCATCTTTTTTCTTTTTTTTTTAATTTATTTGTTTTTTCTTTTTAAATCTATTTTTTTATGTATTTTTTTATATTATTTTTATTTTATTTTTTTTTAAGTTTTTTTTTAATAATTTTTTTTTTTTTATTTTTTTTATGAATTTTTTCTAAACATAGGTTACAAATCTTACTAATTACAGGCATACTTTACTATCAGACAAAAAGGTTATCAAGCAGTTATACATTTTCTTCTCATTGAGTGATAGTAGAAAGAGAATATTAACAGGAAGATAGTAAAGTGGACCTGATAAAAGGATTTCGACGGTTCTTGTAGAGGAGAATGTTGTCGTAGCTACTTGATTCAATATAAATTGGAGCATTAATAACAACACTGGTTATATCGACGCCAACATCATAGTCGCATTCATTATATTTTAAAGTTTTGTTTTCTTTAGATATTTATTTACCACAGTATATCCAAAGCGACATCAAACTTTCATAATATAAAATCCACAAGGAAAACAATTCCTGTAGCTGGCTGTATACCACGTATCACAAAAAAGAGGTTAGTCTTCGTAAGTGGGTATATTTATTTAAAAGCCCTTAAAAGGGCTACATCAAAAAAACAAACGTTTTCGGACTAAACAGTCCATCATCCGGTTTAAATTTTAAAATTGCTAGGTTAAAATGCCTGAGCCACCAAAATACATGGGTAAAAACCCTTTAAATTACATATAGTTGTAAAAGATTATACATCTTGTTGTTAAAATACTGTGATGTTCAGTATTAAATTAAATATGACTTCAGGTAACATACATTGCTCAATTGAACTCACTTCAGCAACATTTTTTTTTTTTCATAATATAATTTTTTCTATAACGAAGACTTATGGCGTTATGATCTAAAAAACTGAATAGAAATCTAGAATTTTCAGAGTTTTCAGAATTAATTAATGTTTTCAGTAATTAAACTTTGTTTTTACTACTGTTTGATTCTGGCAAGATTGATTGATTCAAAATCGAAGAGCTATGAGCATCGTAACAGGTATTATTCATACAAAATAGCCAAAACTGCATTGCAATTACATATAATCCTTATATGCAATTGCATATAATTGTATATATCCCATCGAGCAATAAGACAAAAGAGGGAATGTAAAGGTAGTGGGGGCAAACATATTGATAGACAGGAAGTGCTATTTTGAGAGGCCACTTTAAACAAGGAAAGAGAATCTCTTTCCTTGTTTAAGAAATCAAATTTAGTTGGGTTATGTTATTGTTGATGATATTGTTTGTCAAATATGTCACATGAAAGCTTATTTATACTTTCTATTGAAGTTTTTTTACAACTGTTTAACATTTTAGACTATTATCATTATTAATTAATTAAAACTTTATTGTGTTCTAGTGTTAAAAAAAGTATTTTAATAAATAAATAGACAAATATATAATATAAAATATTATGTAATATAAAATAAATAAATAGATAAATTACAACCCCTACACCACTGTATGATTATTGTCAAGTGTCATGAAATTTAAATTTGGCGCATTTGCATTTCCGGATATGTCCGCCATCAGAGGCCACTTTTTTGGTCTCCTTTTCATAACGATTAGATTCCCTCTTTTGTCTTATTGCTCGATGATATATCCATATATTGGATATAAACGTCAGAACTGTCAGTCGATTTGAACCCATAGTATAAATTTAACAAATATTTAGCACGTTAGTTTTTAACGTTATAAATTATCCAGGTAATTACTTATCTCTTAATACTAATTTTTTTAGATGTGCATGAAAGCAGAAATGGAAGTAGCTATGAAACTACTAGAAAAAGATATACACGAAAAACAAGATACGATAATATCCTTAAGACGACAGCTAGATGATATCAAATTAATTAACTTAGAAATGTACAAGAAACTTCAGGTAAGTGGGCAATTAAACATTATGCATCTAGCAGTATCCTCTAATTAATTTTGAAACGTTATATTTATTTATTTAGCGTTCTCGCCAATATTTTGCATGTATTTCACTGTGCTAAAACTTTCCATTTTTTACATAATCCCATGCTACGTTCTTAGTTTGAACTAAATTAAACACTCACCTAGTTAGTTATATTGAAAATTATTATTAGTAAAACTGAATATTAGTAAGAGTCAAATGGTTACTTTATAAAAATAAGCATTTAGCTATTGGCGACGTGCAAGTACTTGGATGTGATACGAGAAACGATCGTGCGCGAGTAGCGGAGAAATCTTGCATTTTTTACTGCAAATTTCATAGATTTCATAAATTCATATTGTCAATTGTCATATTTCTTATTCGTTTGTTTATTTACACCTTCTGTCACTGAAGAAAATTGGATTTAGGAAATGCTGTGTTATAAATTGTAAAAATACAACAAAAAATTGTCAATTTAAGTTTTATTCGTTTCCAACTTCGAAGCATAAATTACTACAAAGAGAAAAGTGGATATATATCATAATAAAGCATAAGTAACATAACCTAAATTATGCATTATTCTTGGGCCCGATTTTAAAGTCAGTTTGAAATAAAGAAAAGTTCACTTTTAAGTGTAAATTTTATTTTCATAACACTCGCTTAGAGTTCATTTTAACCCAAAAATCAAGTTTAATGTTTAAATTTTATTTTTTTGAAATTTACAAAAATGCATCAAGTTCAAGTTTTTCTGAAGATGCATTAAGATATATTCGCTGTCCAAAAGTTTACAGGAAAAGAATTAATTGTTCAAAGCAATATGATGATATCATGGGCTTAACCTGCTAATTTATGCATTAGCATTATTTATGGTAATTTATTTTTCTTCATTCTTCCACATAATTCTTCCATTCTTTTTGACATTTGCCACTACTAAAGCTTTTCCATTTGACTCAGTACTTGGTTGAAAAGTTATTTGGTGATTTACTTTCTCAAATCCAGTTTTTATTATTGCATCCATATTAACAGTAATGCTGTAATTTATTAATATATTTATTTGTATTTACCTACATACAACGTTTACCTTTTAATAACATACCGACATAACCTTAATCTTACTTTTCTTCTTATTCTTTTTTGGGGCTACGTCCTTGACAGTTATCCGGTAACCTCGATCTAACATGAAAGCGCTGTAAATTTTGCTGATTTTCGACTTGCACGGTCCCAATAAAAGCGTGAAATGTGTAAAAACAGAAACATAATAACATGAAATTGTTAGCACTACATGTTTACAGGAGAGATATCACCTTTCCTTTAATCAACGAATTTTTTAAGATATATTCAACAATCGTTCAAAAAATGGTTTAGGAAATATTTGTGAATGGGAATAGAACTACCCTCTCTTTTCAGATGATCAAGTTCTTGTGATTAGTAATTAGTACACGTCATGTTTATCGTAAGTAACTCTTTGGAGTGGTGTGTAAAAAGAAACTTCGAAAAAACATGATTAACTTCTAATAGAGATCATTCCAAGAAATATAAATGTGGAAGACGAATAAATTAAAGGTACTTAACGAACCGGCCATAACGGAACACCCAGAATGAATGCCAAAAATTGTTATTGTTAATTTTTGTGCGAGGAACAACAAAATTAACGTTTGAAAAGGAAGCGTAGTAAATGGGTGCTTTAAATGTTTAAAAAGCGAATCACAGAAAGTGAATTTTGCCGATTTAATCGATCATTAAAACACATTTTATTAATACTTCCAAATGAATTACAAAGAATATCAAAAACTGATCTTCTTCTTCTTATGGTGCCTATGCGTTACGGATGTTGGACACTAACATGGCTATTCTGACTTTGTTGACTGCTGCCCTGAAAAGTCCGATAGTGGATAAGTTAAACCATTTTCGCAGGTTATGCAGCCAGGATATTCTTCTCCGTCCTGGACCTCTTTTCCCATTCACTTTACCATGAAGTATGGTCCGAAGTAGGTCATATCGTTGTTCATTGCGCATTATATGGCCCATATGGTATTTCAGTTTGCGACGTTTTATGGTTACGACTAGTTCGCGCTCTTTACCCATTCTATGTAGTACTTCTTCGTTGGTAACTCTATCTATCCAGGAAATCCTCAACATGCGTCTATAGCACCACATCTCAAATGCTTCGAGTCTCTTTAGTGATGATTCAGTTAAGGTCCATGACTCCACGCCGTATAAAAGAAGGGAGAATATGTAGCATTTTTGTAAACGAACTTTTATTTTCAATTTTATATCGTGGCTGTTAAAGATTTTTTCATTTTGACGAAAGCTGATCTTGCCTTCTCGATCCTTATCTTAATTTTCGTCGATTGGTCCCATTGTTCATTTAAGTTTGCACCCAGATAACAAAAGTTGGTGATTTGTGTTATAGGTTGTTGGTTAACTAGTAATTGACCAGGTGGTATCCTATTTTTGCTTATAACCTATTGATGTTAAAATCAAGCCCAAACCTGCTACTTACTTCTGCCACTCAGGAAACAAGTGACTGCAGACCTTCAAGACTGTCTGCAAAAATGACAGTATCATCAGCATATCTTATGCTGTTCAACCGTTCTCTGTTTATAAGTATTCCCTCGTCTACATCCGTTAGCGCTTAGTTCATAATGTGCTTTGAATATTTATTGAATAATAATGGGGACAATATGCATCCCTGTCGTACATCTCTCTTTATCTTTATGTCGTCTCTTAACTGATCCCCAACTCTAACAGCTGCAGTTTGTTCGGAATTGATATTGTTTATTATACGGCGATCTCTGCTGTCTAGAGACTAGAATCAAATATTTTCATCAGTTTTTTTTTGTGTTTTGGCTTGGACAATTGTCATTCAGCCAGTCTCAATCAAGATAAGTTTATTAATGTAGTGTGTGTAGAGTAATTGTCTTGATACTTAACAAAGTCGACGTCGTTGTCTTTGCTAAGAGACGCTAATTGTATCCGAACGTCTGCGGTCCCTCTGGTGAGTACCGATCACACAAGGATAGAAATTATTTTCATTTATTAATTTTTTTAATAAACGAAAATTTCCACCCTGGTGAGATTCGAACTCACGACCTTTAGGTTTAAAGGTAGGCGCTCTTACCACTGAGCCACAGAGGGGGTTCTATTTTCATCAGTTCGTCATGTTTTATTCTATAGAACGCTTTCTGATAATCAACAAAACACACACACATAGCTCAGTGACATTGCCGAAACGTCGTCAAGAAATATATATATATATATATATATATATATATATATATATATATATATATATATATATATATATATATATATATATATATATATCACAATTCACGTCTCTACATCTTTGAAAGAGAACTTGTATTGCAACAAGTGCCTCTCGAGTACCCAATGCATCCCTGAAGCCGAATTGTGTTTGTCATGTGTTCTTCACACTTTTTATATATTATTTTATGTATAATTTTTACAAAACTGGTCATACAAAACAAAATATTCATGTTCCTTGATATTTCCTTTCAACGGTTGTTTTAACTTTCTTGATTGGAATAGTTTTTTCACCAAAATCATACAGTTTCTTGTACCTTTTTAGAATTGTGTGTGCTGGTAAATCTTGTTTCAGATTATAATGTACTCTGAGAAGAAATTAAACTGAATTGATATTCGATAACTATTGTTCTATACACTTGTAGCGTCAATGATTGACTGAGAGCCCGCTAAGGGCAACTGTTATACACCTTGACTTATGGCGGCGTTGCCAATACAATGTTGTCAGGTATATTACAAATTAAAAGTAAAAATATACTGAACAGTACTCACTAATGAGTATTATTAATTGTTTTTCGTCATTTTTATTTTCCGGTTCGATCAGTTATGACAGCGCTCGGCATCGTTGTCGCTGTGTTTCGTAAAGTAATGCATTCCGTTGCCGGCTTGTTCGTTCGAGTGCGCATACCTTAAATCGCGCAGGTACTGTAAATATCAGAGATACTCAGCCAAAATTTAAACTATATATACATATATATATATATATATATATATATATATATATATATATATATATATATATATATATATATATATATATATATATATATATATATATATATATATATATATATATATATATATAATGAATTGAATGCAAAGGTGAAATTAGTTTAAAAATAATATAAGCAGTACTTACATTCCGATACAAGGTCTATTGTTAAGATGGCAGGCGTGTTTCACGCCATTTTAAATTACGTAAGATCGACAAGGAAGCATTGAAATAAGAAAGCATTGTTTTCGTTAGAGGCATTTAGCAATATTTAGACAAACACCTATCTTGTTCATTCTTGTTTAAAATCGTAGATGCTTTTGTATGATATATACATTCTTATGATTGTAAAAAAAAATTGTATGGGTAAAAAAAATTGCTACAATATTTTATTTTATGCAACATTATGGATTCGTATTTCGAACCTACGAAAAAGCTCTGCTTGATTGCCACTTTTAGTACCCACACATTTTATATATTTTTAAACACAACTTGCGTTCATCCTTAATCCTCCTGCACTGAAATTCTGCTTTTCATCATACAAAAAAGATTTATTGTATAAAGGCATGTCTGTAGAAATTTTTGTTCGTTAATTGCATAGATATTCTATTATACTTTGACTGATTATAGGAATGTGAGATGGAACTAACACAGAAAGGTGAGATGGTGAGTCGTCTGCAAGCGAAAGCTGGTCAGATCGGAAAGATCCTCAACAACTTAGAGAAATACAACCATCTGCTTAAAGACGATAAAAGACCAGCTGATAAAAAGTCTATACACGACAGAAAACACTCACTTTCAAAATCGGTTATAAAAGAAAATAGAAAATGCGAGGCTGCGGAAGAATCGGGAGGTGCCGCGGTAGAAAAAGAGGCCGTATTAAAGGAACCCAAACCTTCCGATTCTACCGAGTCTTTCATTAAATTAGATTTAGATCTTAACTCTCCAGAACCGAAAGAATAGTCTATTACTAAAAATATATAATTTCCCATTCGACTATATGTGTCTGTGGTAGCTTTTTTGAATTGTATGCCCTTAAAAGGTATTAAATTAACAAAATATACAAAAATATCAATTATTTTGTTTTAACAAGGTACAATTGTATTTAAAGTGAGAATTCGGGACATGAAATTAGTAGTTTTTCTGGGATACTACTTTTATTCAAACGTGATCTGTACTATTTTGTACTTAAATATGTTACTATGTATTTTTTATATAATGTTTTTTTAATATGGAACTGTTAGGTAAAATACTTACAATACTGTAAAGAGTTGATGTTTAATCTGCTGGTCGTAAAATTGTACAATATCAGAGTATAAAATTACTCCAAATATCTGAAGTCTCGGTCCCAGTCTTTCTCTTATAGTGTTTCTAGATAGTCATGGAAAAGACAGATCAATGGCTCAAAATCATGTGAGAATTCAATCTTCACTGATCAAGCTACTGTAGACGGCATTGTCAACGAATAAATAGAAACTAAAAGATTACAGACAGTATACTTAATGTTTCAAAGGGAGATTTAATTAGGTAAAAAGGCTATTAAACTCCAATTAAATAATAACAGTGTAATAAAAGCAAAAAAGAGTAATAAAAATAAAATTTTTGGAAACGCCAATTGTTCGCACACAAAAATAGATACTTTAAAATTATTATTCTTTTAAGGAAGGTAACAGACGCTGCTCTCGAATTACACTTGAACCGGGTCTTAAAAGGCCCTAGTCATAATTTCGATAACCCAGTTTTTCGGATCGGTGTAAAGATCCGAATTCTTTGTGAACGACCTATCACTATTACTATACTATCTAATACTTATCAACTGTTTCTATTAGATTTCTATATTGAACGTTACGTAACCATTTTGATCCAGGTTCTTTCATTTTCCAGAATCGTTCAACTTAAAAACTGAAAAACAAAATGTTCACAGAGAAAAATAGTTACGTTCGTACAAATGTTATAAACGAAGAGCTAGAATGAACCAGCATTAAATAACTGTAGCATTATAAGCAAAATTAGAAGTAGACGAACGTAACGATCGTCATGCAAAAAGTTCCAAGGCAGTGACCTACAGAAAACCAAATGAAAGACCTCGAAAGGCTTAAATCGAAGATTCGTGGACTTCCACGGCTGTAGACAGAAGTAACTAATCGTGTCCTAGGTTTGGACCGTGGTTTTTTGACGAGCTGTATGTCAGCCCATCTCAATTTTTTGCTACCTTTGTAGGTAGCTTCTTCAGGATAATTCAAGTACTCAATGAATCTAAGTGTGAAAGACAAGAACTAGAGAATGGATTCTCGTATAATAATTTGAATACTCAACGATCCCCGTGGGTATCTTCCCGTGGGTATCCCCGTAATATGGGTTTTTTAATATGGAATATTCTATATCTTCACAGTGTTCGAGAGTAATGGAGGAAAATACCAGAACTACTATTTCTTTAATGATCTTATGTTCGAGCTTTGTCGAGTTCACCAGTTTTGCTGATACATAAGTACCTACAAGAACAAGGGATGGAATATACACCACAAGAGCAGTGATTTAGATGGGTCAGAAATGCCGAAATTTTCTTGGATGGACGAAAAGTGGACTTAGCATTCTTGCTTATACCGTATGTGACAGCTAATATTTGGACTCACCCCTGTATACGTTGAGTATTTCAGTTACTGTGCGTGAATACCTATCACGTCTGTTGGATTTCACTTCTAGAGTATTCGAGTTACCGTAACCAACAGCCTTACCTTGCTCCTGAAGAAGCTGTATACAAGAGTAGCAAAACGTTGGGATGATTCACGTATGGGTCGTTAAAAAAAAAACACGGTTTAAAGTTGTAAAAAAATTTGGTAATTATTAGAAGATGTTCAGAAAGGTTTAAAGAAAATTTTTGATAAATGCTTTGAAAAGGATGGTACAATAAAAAGAAAAAAACTATTGTGCGGTCGAAGGAGCATAAAAAAACAAATAAAAGTACCAAAAGGACATATTCGTAAAGTAGTTTTTTCCATAGTGTTCTATATTCCACGGTATTCTAGCAAAATATTGACAAAAAACGAAAGGATAATACCTTATTTACTTCAAGAATATAGCCTTACTGATCTCAGTTAGTAAAAATTACTGTATTTAATAGAATAGAAGGGGCCAATACCGGAAGATCGAGAAGATTGGGATTTGGGACTAATTGATAGGACAAAAATGCTGTTTGCATGTTTTATTTGACCTTACCAAAACGTTTGATAATGCGGGGCTTAGTGATGTAATCAAGATTCTTAAATAGAACAAAATAGATTATGAATACCGAAAAATTATTTTAAAACTCCATAAACAGAACATAATAAACTCAAAGCAGGATATATGACTGGACTCTTAAAATACTGCGTTGTGAAAATCACGTTTTCCCCATAGCAGAAAATAACCTGCAACATATACTACGAGTATTTAATATCAAATAATCATATCAAAGAAATTGCCAATCGACAACAACACAATACAGGAAGGTCAAAATTTACTTACTGGAAGTGACAGTACCTATTAAGTGAAAGTAACCTGATTGAAGAGGCATGAACACAAGCGATGAAATATCTGCAGCACATATCTGAAAGACATGATAGGGAAACTAAATTGATGTAGACAAAGAGCAAAATCAAAATAAGACCTATACCAATACCGTATTCAACCAAATCACAGAAGAAGCATGGAAAACAAAAAGAATATTGAGAACAACCTAAATTAAAATATTAAAACCTATCAAGGGAATAATCCTTACGTATTAAATAAGGAGCTCTGATATTGCAATTGGAGGTGGTTTAGGGGACAAGAATTGGCAATTTTGTAAAAATGTTGATATGTTCGAATGCCAGAAAAGAGAGGGCTAGACTCAGAAATTAAACATGCGGATAACAGCGTCATAGAAAGAGTTCAGAAGGCTAACCAAGAAGGCTGACAAGAATTAGCAATTTTGTAAAAATGTTGATATGTACGAATGCCAGAAAAGAGAGGGCTAGACTCAGAAATTAAACATGCGGATAACAGCGTCATAGAAAGAGTTCAGAAGGCTAACCATAAAGAATTTAACAGGACCTAGTCCTACGAAAATAGTGGAAGTTTTAATAATAACCAAAAATCATCGGCGGCCATCCGATAGATAGAACACCGAATATTTTTACACCTTTGTAAAATATTAGTTTAAGAAACAAGATAGTGTAATAAAGTACAGTTCAATATATATGGAAGATTTCTACAGGTGTATGTGAGAATTCAGCAAAATAAAAGAAAAGTAAAAAACTAAGATAGATGGCAGAAAAACCTTAGACTTTTAAACAAATATAAAAAGTACATAACAATAGTGGGTAACGTTAATTTAAACGTTTAATTAAACAAAATGTTAGTTCGAGATAATATTTTTTCAGATATATTTTCTAGACGATACAGTTATTAGTATCGAAGGAATCATTTATAATATGCTAATTTTTTGTCCCCTTCCAATTTAATAATTAATATATCTATAATAATTAATATAATAAACATTTACTGTTGTGGCATTCCACACTATTAGTATACAGAATGTTTTAGTCAGCAAATATGATGTCACTTACTTTTAATGTCACATGTATTGGTTAACAAGCAAGTCACAGTGTCTGTTCGTTGTCAGCACAAGAAAAGCCGTCGGTAAAATTTAAATTCAGCGGAAAATTAAATTAATGGGCCGTAATGCTCTGTAGTTAGTTATTTGTTAAGATATTTGCTCTATATGTTAAGCAACCTTAGAGTTTCCAAAACATCTGAAAACTGAAAAACTACAAATTGTATAGAAATCCATCCTTGCAGTCATTTACTTATAAACTTCTTTATTATATTTGTAGTGAACTGCGGAAGCGTTTGAAAATTTAAAGAAGCGAAATGTGATATATAATGGTATTAACTGACTAAAACATTTTTATACAAAGAATACAAGACATAATTACTTTATTTTGGATTTATTTCATATAATCTAATCCCTTGGTATGTAAATGTGACTTATTTTAGGAAAGCGAGGCTTCTCTAAGGCATAAAACTGAATTTATTACCAAACTAGAAGCTAAAGCACAATCTATGACCGATACCATACAATCTCTCGAAAATAAGTAGGTATTTTTTTTATTTCTTTTTTATTATTTTTTTATTTATTTTTATATAAAATTATGATCAAAACTACACAATTTAGAACGATCAAAATGTCTCGAGAAAGCTACAAGAGGTTAAAATATTGTTTCATTAAATTCTCTAGCTTCAGATTTTTTCCATTGTATAAAATATATATTTTCATTCAATATATACATCATTCACCAGTTATAATGATGCTCATTCCACCGTACCGTCAAAACCATTGGAAAAGTGGCGATCATCCAGTATTAAATCTGCGAAGTGTCAGTTCAACTGTTGGTTAGTCTTATTCTGATATTCAGATAGACTTGCGCGCGACATTCTTTTATTGCCACGTTTTACTTAACGTGTATGTATAAAATGCATCTTTATAAAACCTGTGCGATGAAACATTACTATAATTATTGAACTTTACTGTACATATCAAGTACACGTATCCTATTCCATTATAAACTAGATCGAAAAGCTTGTGTGATGTCTAGTAACCTCATGAGCTGTCTTTTCTGACAGCAAAAAAACTTGCTTTTCTGACAAATTGATGCAATAAGTTAAATATTTCGAATCAACAGAATAAAATGGATATATAAACCGTTTTTTATCTATTCAAAGTCGAAACCTTAATTATATAACATATGTATATGTGTCATACACTTATTTAGACCAATACTCTCAATCATCATTGAAAAGATTTTAATTTCTCTATCGTTAAAATTTACAAGATACCAACACTCCACTTTTGATATATATCGTTGCTTTTAAGATTTTGTGTTTAGCTTACGTACATGAATCTATGAGCGCACTTTTAATCTTCGTAGTTTCCATGTTACCCTTTTTTATTTGTTTGGAAGTTTGAAGTTTTCTCGAGTCGTTATTGACCTTCCTATTAAACAGTTTTGACGTATTTATCGACTGATTTCATGGATTTATCAATTATTTTTCCATGAGAGAGAAAAGTATTAATGAGACTGATCATATAAAATGAAAGGTAAAAAAAGCGACAGAGTGGTCCACTATTCATGTGAGAAGAGTATGTTATTAGCTTGATTTCGTAGTTATTGATTGCCTTTTGAATTATATATCGTTGTTGTTGTCGCTTTGGTTAAATGTCATTATAAAACCGCGACATTAACGTTTCCAAAAGAAAATAAAATTATATTATCATTGAAAGTTATTTAGCAGAAGAGATTAAAAATAAATCAATCTCAACATTAAAATCTAACATTCGTAGGTATTACGCCACTTCAAGCGGTCATTACGTGACATGAAACCTATTTTTGATACGTATCGACAAACAGTAAATTCGTCTGATAGTATAGTAAGATATACAGATATTGATATCAGCTTCAAATGAATCGCAACATGTTTCAACAGACTTGAATAACCTATCTAAAGGTGTTAAAAACGTCTAAATATTACACCAAGCTGTTCACTACTGATTTTAGTAATTGTTTAATGATTAAACTTGAGAGATCGCTGGTTAAATTGTATTGGATAAATAATTTTTAAAGAAAAAATGCAGCAATATTAGATTGTATATAAGATTAGCGAAAATAGCGAATATTTGTGGCAAATATATGTAAAATAAAATGAATTCAAATAACAATTGGCAGATTTTATATCTTATTGTCAATTCTATATGAGATTCACTTACCTTTTCGTCTATAGTCGGCCCAGCTGGGGTTGGCGTGAGATACACTGCTGTGGTGATCTGCTTGGCGCTTGCTTCCGTACAGGACGAGAGGTTTTTGAAGAGTGGTCGATCATATGCAAAGGGGCACGTATCTATTACCCCAAATCGACTAGAGGGTACTGTTTTTAGAGACCTCCGTGAATAGCCGTAAATTAAACTTAAAGTGACATTCTTTACTTGCTACACAAAGGCGGATAGGAATCTGAAGTGTTTTGGGTTGATATATGTTTCCCAAAAACATGTTGAATTTTAGACAAGTGAATTCTCAGAACTTGACAATAATTAATCAGCCAATTTGAGTTCGAGAATTTAAAAATAAACTAAAGCCATATTGCAATTAGGTAATATATTATGATTAAATAAATTTTAAAACTAAATAAGGTCATACTCGTAATAATAAAAATAAAATATTTAAATTACTTGACACTTTTCCAAACAGTAATGAAAGTGTAGAAGTTGTGACTTTGGCTATTAAATCTTTTTACAATCCATGTTCAATGCTAACCGTCAAGTGTGCCGATTGATGCTGCAAGATACGTGCTTTAAACGGAAACTAGGAATAACTATATCTGTATTTTTTTCAATAATTTATCATAGAGTAACATAGCGGTTTTTAAACATATTACTAGAGAATATGAACAAATTAGTGAAGAAAAGGGTTAGGTATACTTACGGTAAAGGGGTTAGTCTTACGATAAAACGTAAGTTTATTGGAAAATTGTAGCTTTCCCGCTATTATTAATCCAGATCATTTTTTGTCAGTTGATTTATATGATGTTTTATTTAAGAACAATGTAAACATCATTCAGTAATGTATTATTGATTGTTTTCTTTTGGAAATGTACATTTTTTGTACCATACATCATATTTAGCCTTATAATTCCTTTACCTTTGACATGTGATAGATATTTTGCGAATTATAAGACTAAATTCGACATTTATTTAGTTGAAGTTTGCTTAAATAATAACTTTTATCTGAGTAGGGTAATATATTTATATAGTAGGATATCGTTATTAATCATATTAACATATATTAAAAAAAATGTTGGCAAACCTTCACTACCGGCAGCTGCTAGATTTTAAGGTAATTTTAATCAAAATAATTTTTAAAATCATTAGGAAAACACTTATTTATGTCTCAGTAACTCTCTTTAGGGTGTTAACTATTACAAATTAAGGGGATATTTTAAGAACTAACGTTTTGTGTAAAAAATACAAATTGATGGAATATTTTTCTTATATAATCTAAGAAGTGCATTTCTTACACTTTCTCAGAGGTTTATCAGTACTTCTTAGGGTACCTGTCCGTTCCTAACGTTTTCGATCATTCTGGCTATGATGACTTTCTTGGTTACTATACGGAATAGATGTCTTGAGGTTTTTCTATATTATCCTCTCAGGTTAGCAAGCCAGGATATTCTTCTTCGTCCTGGGGCACTTTTTCCTTTAATTTTACTTTGCAAAATGCATTGGAGTAACTCGTATCTGCCTTGATTTCTCATTATATGTCCCAAGTACTAAGGCTTACGGCCCTTCACGATGTTGACCAAATCCGCGGTTGTGTTCATCCTCCTTAGCACTTCTTCATTGGTGACATCGTCTGTCCATTGTATCTTCAGGATCCTTCTGTATAACCATAGCTCAAAAGCCCGAAGTTTTGATAGAGTTTCCGCCTTCAATGTCAATGTGTCTACTCCGTACAGAAGCACGGAGTACACGTTACATTATTATGCACCCCTGTCTCACTCCCCTTAAGATTTTGACCTGATCTGTATATTCTCCATCTTTTCGGAGCACCGCTGATTGATTTCAATATTAGCTATTATTTTTAAGTCTCTTCCGTCAATCCCTGTCCTCTTCAGCACTTCCATCATTTGTTCATGCCTGACTCAATCGAAAGCCTTCTTGTAGTCAATCAGGCATGCAAAAACATTACAGCTGACATCTCTACATTTCTGAAACAATACCTGCACGCTAAATAAAGCTTCCATCATACCAACGGCATTCACAAATCCAAACTGATTGGGCGCAATTTGTTTATCGCACAAGAAGTAAATTCTTTTGTGGATAACTTTTAAAAACAGCTTCAGCAGATGGCAGAATGGCTTTATCAGCAAATTAAGTCAGATTCAATATTGATACTAGTTGATAATATACACAGTGTTTACACAGACAAACACAGATGACCCAGACATATAACTATAAACGGCAGTGAGATAGAACAAATCCAGGAATATATCTACCTAGGCCAAATCCTGAGACTTGACAAAGAGAACCAAAGTGCGGAAATTACTAGAAGAGTAAGACTAGCATGGGCAGGATTTGGAAAACTTAGTTGGATACTTAAGAACCGCAAAATACCCTAATACTTGAGGAGCAAAGTGTTCAACTAATGCATCCTTCCTATCATGACATATGGTTGTCAAACCT